CTTTCCTTCTTTTTATAAATTGTTGATTGCTGTAGTGTATATAACACAGCCTGTAACAAAGCCTTGAAATTAAAGAAGGATTAAATATATACCAGTACTCAAACTGATATTATGTTATTATTTATATGACAAATGAGATTATATTTTTTTCTTGCTCTTTTGTACAGATTACAGATTAGTCCCGCTACCTCTGCTTGTTATCATATAGTGAAAATCGGATAGAGTGAAAGCTCTAATAGTCACTCTGTATTCACTATGCAAATAAAGAAACATTTTCTGAACACGTAGGAAATGTTTGTCATGAAAGTGGTGGTTTTTCCTCTGTTAGATGACTCACTGATAATATTAAGAAACCTCCTACAAATACCAAATAACTTGCAGCTCAGGCGTTTCAGTGTTATCATATTAAGCCATTGTCCACTCTATCTTTTGGAATGACCCATGTGGGATAGCACCTGTGTTGGGGCTACACCCTGTTAAGGTGTTGTACGTGTGTGTGTGTAGGGTAGCATTGCTGGGCCTCGCCTTTAAGGGCACATTTGTCCTCACCCCTTAATCAGATGAATGAAAGCTTCGCATTCTCTGTGGACTTGGGAAGGCAAGGATGGCATATTTACCAAACACGCCCACAGTGAAGTGACCTGGAGACAGCTGTGATTGGGTATGTCTGTGCATGTGTGCGTGTGCATGTGTGGTGTGTATGCATTTTGTAATGCCAAGGCAGGTGAAACTCCAGATGTGTCATATGAACATTTGTCTTTCCTGTTTGCTTCATCTTTCACGAGATGCATACTACCTGCATATACACAGTGAATGTTCATGTTATAATAATTTGTTATAATATACAAATTTCCACATGTGGGACTAATAAAGGTTATCTTATCTTATCTTATTAGTGGTATTACAACACTATACACATACATTATATACAAGTTCAAAATTTTAAGTTGCACCAAAAAAGGATCCAAATATCCTGTAAAGCTTCTGAATGTGCTATTTAATATAACTACATTTGAAAATCATTACAATAAGTTAGACTGCAATTATTTAATTTCCAATAAATCTAGTTTTTAATTAAGGGACAGACTAAATAGGCTCTATAAGGGAGAGTTACCTGAGAAGCATAATATCCTGTCTCATGTTCATATACTAAATATGAAGTTACCGTGAGCAGCCGGCTAATTTAGTCTAGCATAGTGGGAGAAACCGCTAGCCTGGCTGTGTCCAAAGGCAACAAAATCTACCCACCACTGTAAAAATGACAAATACCTGTTTTACACAGGGTTAAGAGGCAGATTATTTCTTGGTCCTGATAATTTGCCAGACAACTGGACTCCAAAGAAAGAGAGTCTCCAGGAATTGAAACTGAATTAATGGTGTGTTCTTGTCACTGTCCATTTCCTTTTTGGCATCCTCCTCTAGTTTTATTAGCTACTTTCAGGTAGGTAAGTGCACCCCTCTCCTCTCTTCTGTTTCTCCACAATTTACCATCTTCCTCTTCACGTGTCTCCTCTCTGTCCCTTTCTATGTTCCTACTCTCTTGCTCAGTTTCTTTCTTTTTTGGCTTTTGCTACCCACGTTCTGTCTTCTTTCCTAGCCAAGGGAAACAGCATGTTGGGTACGCTTAAGGGCTTATATTTCCCAGAAAAATTCAATTGGTGCTCACCATGTACTCAGACATAAACCACAGTGAAGGCTTTATATATAAAATGTAAAATCAGGGGCCAATTGGAGCCATTTCTCTCGCTGTGACATCTGGCCTTTTGCAGGCCACAGAAGCTGGCTGGCAGTAGCAGCGAGGGAAATGTTTTCTTTTTTAACCTTTCTAAAAACAACATGTTCACAATGTCAAGAGGTAACAGGCTTGCTGGGAAGGAAGTGAAGTGAGGTGTTTCACAGTCATGGAATTGCAGGGGTGTGAATGGCTTTTTCCTCGCAGCATTTGTTAAGCGCTTTCCATATCAACAAAGACTGCGTCTGAGTGACAGCGTGACTGTGTCGGCGGTCGGTCAGTCACACAGAAAATAAAACGCAGACACATGAATGCAGTCAAGACAAGAAGTTAGAGCATATTTCGGCAAATACCTGCCAACTTCAGACCAAGTCAGACGCACTTTCCACAAAAGCTGACAAGTTTATTTGATGATTGAAGATCTTTTTTCTTTTTTTTCCATGGCTAATATCTGATTCATACATTGTGTAATGTCACTGTTATTCAAACAGCAACACGTTTTTGTTGATGCATTTTTTTTGCGCCTGTGTCCTTGGTGATAAAAATCTTTGCAACAACAAATACCAGGCCATAAATCAGACAGACAACACAGAGTCAGAGGAGGAACAGCCACAACCACAACAGGTGTTAAGAGGAAACCATTTGTCTTCCTGTGAGGGTGGTTTTACTATGTGTGTGTGCGTGTGTGTGTCTGTCACAATACAACAAGGCTGTACTTACAATCAATTTCTTTTTTTTTTTTTTTTTTTAATAGTCGCATTGCAGCTACTGCAGATACTGCTCGCCTGCTCAGGTTTCTATTTTTAATGAATAATTTTAAAAAATCAAAACTACTTTTATATATTACAGAAAAAACAAATCACTGCTTCATCAAACTACATCATAATACACTCTGACTCAGTTGACTGGGGTGTGCAAATGTGCTTAGCTATCTTGTAAAGGGGAGTATTAAGCTTTGCAGGCTGGATCTGCCTTATTTGTGTGTCCCGCATTGGAACAGACTTGCTCTTGCCAGTGTGGAAGAAGAAAAAAAAACATTAAGAAAACAATTGCGCCAGTGAGTTTGAATGGATGTCAGCCAAGCGTCCCAGACACCTGGGCTTGGACCAAACAGCTCTCCCCCTGTTGGAGCGAAAAGACCCACCGCTATGGAGGTCGCAGCCGGTCAAAGGCATCTGTGGCTGAACACAAAGATATTCTGATACGGCTGAGCGCTGCAGCTTGAAGTTTTATTAAAATGCCTGAACAACCGTCCCCCAACACACCCCCTTTTTTGGACATGAATGTTACAGGGCTGTGAGATCAGCAGGAGGGCACCCAGCAGGGTTGGTGCTGCCTATCACTTGTTGCCACCTCTACGTGATCTGCATCTAAATACTTTGAGCTGTGTCCTTACTGTGATCATGCTGAGAAGTCTTGATATTTAGCTTTTTCTCAGCAACTTGTCAACATCTGCCAAATGCTCATTACTGCGGTGTTTTTATATTCCACTTCACGGAGGTCACTTTTCAATCAAGCACCACGGGGAGGTCTGTGACATCCAATGTTAATAGAGTACGAGCTGCGCACTCAGGGACTGTCATTACTCCTTTTAATGACTCAGTTCATTTCCTGTTTATTCAAAACACGTTGGAGAGAGAAAAACTTCAATACTGCGCATCTGTGGATTTTTCCAAGGAAAGAAGCCCTAAAAGCAAACTGAAATTTCCTATTTGCTTGGTTATTAGCAAAAAAAACATGTATTTTCAAATAAATTTAGTCAAAGGCTGCTCATGTTTTAGGTCCGTGGCCCTTTCTGCCTTCACTTGTCTGACGATGCAAAACAGTGACAATCTGCACTGAAGCTTCAGGGAGCCAAAGCTCTGTCATGGAACCCGTTTTTCTCGTCTGGTAATCACAATAGTTCAAGAGTTCATTGTGTTATCCATTTTCAGTTAAGGTGAGGGTTACTTAGCCCTAATCAATCATTCACTCAAGTCATGTATCAGACACATTTATGCAATTTGTTTTTTTTAGCAGAAGCAGTTAAAACCAGCTTATTCCTACAACTAGCTGTGCAAAACACTGAATCCCCTTATCCCCTCCTTCCAAGCCATGATTAGCTAGATTGTCATTTCTACCGAGGAAACAGGCTGGGGAAACATACCTATAACTGAAAAAAGTTCCTGTGGGGTTATGTTAGGTGTTACCCTAAATACCACTTACACATCAAGACTAATATGACATCTTCCTAAAAGACGGAGGAGAAAATGTTGATTTAATAAAGAACATTCAGAGCTTTGAATGCCTTTCAGACCCCACGCTACTTTTATAATGCTGAGGGTCCAGGTTCTGGGGCCAATCGATAAATTATAGCGTTTGATTGTTTTTTTTTAGTTTTCTGTCCAAGTTTTACTGCATTGTCCATCTGTTTGGGATCATAGTCATGCTGAAAAAAAGTTATTGCCATTCAGATGCCTAATGGTTTTGCATGGTGGATCAAAAACTGACGGTACTTTTCTGTGTACCATATTTTTCGGACCATAAGGCACCGGATTATAGGCACACTGTCAATGAACATGTCTGTTTTCATACATAAGGCGCACCGGATTATAAGGCGCATTAAGCGAAACAAAACCGTCAGATAAGTCAATCTTTACTCAACTCGTTCTTCTTGCTTCCTGCACTTCCGTACCATTGATTTATTAACGCTGCATTCTCTCGCAGCTGCTCTATTCCTGCGTTGTTGCAGTATATTAATGACTAACCTCGTATTGTGGATGGATTATCTCAGTTGTTCTCCTGACTGAAGTTTGGTCTGTTTACAGCATCCTGCCATGTGACTGCATTTGTCCCTAACCATCGGGAGCCCTCACATTAACTTTTATTGAGTGAAAAAAAAAAATTAGCATTCATCCTCCAGCTTCACTGTGTTTATGTTACAATCAAGTAGCAAACATATACCAGCTAGTGGAACTTTGGTAACCCTACAAAAGTCAGCTGTTTAGTTTTCTGTTTTCATTTATGTTGGAAGTGATAGGTATATCATGTTTAGGTGGAAACCAGCTAGCTAACTTCCTCTCAGTGATGCCGCAGTATTTGTTTGACTTTGGGACCTGAACCAGACGGAGTTTTGGACCCAGATCACTCCGCGAGGCTCCTGACTATGGTAGCCATAATGCTACGACAATCCATCAAGCGGTGCAGCTTCGTAGCTTACCAAAGTTGTAATAAAACATTTTTTGACAGATTTTTCAGCGCTGTGTACGAATCATTTCGAGGTCAGTAAGCACAACCAGAATTCATACATAAGGTGCACCGGATTATAAGCCGCACTGTCGATTTTTGGGAAAATTAAAGGATTTTAAGTGCGCCCTATAGTGCGGACAATATGATAAATCCATCAATTCTGGCAATCTCTCCAACACCACTGTCCGAAACCGCAAACCATGACAGAGACTCCACCATGTTCTACAGACAGCTTTTTAAATGCTTGAATGATTCATATGTCAGCGTTAAGTGGTTGATCGGGGGAAAAAATCATAAAACAAAAAAACAAGAAAAAAACCTGAAATTTTTACTGTTTTTAAACAAATGCAAAGAAAGAAAAACAAAACAACTTTTGCCCTGATGGCAAACACTCATTCTGGAACGAACATTAAAGGAAGAAGAAAAACAGCTGTGAAATTTGATATGGCTTCTTTTTCTTCTTCTTTTAAATTAAGGTACAAACAAGGCCTGGAACTGACTTGGTACATCTGACAGGGTGCAATAAATCCCCGGGGTCTTTTCCTGTCAGGACTTGATCAGAAAAGGAAAAAAAAATAGCATCACACTGTTTTTCAGAAGCAAGTTAAGCCCTTCTTCTCCTTCACGACAACACTCCGATTACAGTATCAAATGCTGCTTCTGTTTGGAGGAGCGATGGCAGAGGTGAGGAGGGAAAGCCAGAAGCAATTTTCTAGGATGAGTATGAGTTAGAAGTGTGTTGAGGAGTGTTGAGGGTGGAAAGTTTAGTGGGAAGCTGAGGGTTGTGAAACCAGATGTCACTCCAGGCAGGTAGGAAGACAGGTGATTTTAACAAGCTTCTACGGCTGAGCAGACAACTACTGTGACCTCTTGAGTGACCTCCACACCTCCTCCTCTCGAGATCCTGCCTCCTCCTCCTCTCAGACAAGTTTGAAATCCCAAGAATGTAATTAAAGTCAAAGCTTCAAGTCGTCATACTGCCATCCCTGAGGACTGAATTGTACTGAATTCATCCATTTGTGCATTATTTCAAGTTCTATGTGAACCATATTTGATACGATAATATATATAGTAAAATATTCACTATAAAATTCCAGTTTTAGTGGCTTAATGACTGAAGAAGTTGGACAACAATCAGGTGACCTGTGAACTCTGAACCAGATGGATAAATCTGGGGTGAACATATACAAGAGTTCACCAGTCTGAAACATACTGGATACTTAAACATGTGTTTTTTCCCCTTTTAGTTAAATAAACCCCATCAACACCAACATTTATTTAAAGAATTACATTTTACTGATAGAAAATGTCTCAGCATGTCATCCATTCTTTTGAATGAAACTGAACTTTGTAAGGCCAGTGCTGCTGAAGAGTGAACCATTTTGGACTAGCATTCAGCCGTAACCAAAGCACCATGATGACACTTCTATACGACCAGTAGACAGAGGGAGTGTGAGCTGAGCATGCACTCTAAGGAAGTGCGAACAGTCAGAAGGGAGAAAAAGCAGCGACAGTGTGTATGGAAACTAAAAGTGGACTCTGCTTAGTTGCCTCTAGCTTCAGTAATTATCTTGCTGTTGATTTATGAGGTTCCAATTTGTCCATTTTGGTCCCTGCCAGCATGAGCTCGATGCATTGCTGACCAGTGCTGTGGCTCACCAGGCTGCTTGCAGCATTGCCAGCAAGCATACCAGTCATTCAGTCACATGGAGACGGAAAGGTATTGCTACCCATAGAGTTGTAAAAGTTTGACCGGACTAGATGTGTGGTAGATTATTACAATGCTGGCTGAAAAAGATACAAAAATATGTTTTCCATATTTCCACTGATTTAATTTAATGTTTGAAAGCAACACAAACATATCTGCTGCTTTGTCATTGCTTTGTCTGAAAGTAAGAGTGTTTGGACTTTATGACGTGCCTGAAAACCATCAAATAGTTCAGTAAGTTTTATGTTAAGCATGCGTTCAAGACATTTGTTCAAAAAAAAAAGTCAATTCTAATAATGTTTCTAACCATGTGCAAAAATGTCCTGCCTCATATAAACAAAAGTTTTTTTTTAATGTTTATTTAAAGTTGGTTTTCTGTCAGGGGGAGGTTTATTCTTGTATGTTGAACAAATTGGATAAAAATAAAAAAGTTAATAAATTGTAAACAAGAAGTGGTTGTGAGCGCTTGTGTCCTGGTTGATTACTCTCCCCACTTCTTTTTGACAGCAAAGGTCCTTGAGCTATCAACAACGCAGATGGATCGAGTTTACTGTAAACTGTGGTGGATGTTGCCATTCTGAAGCATTTTAGGATTTATGGAAGAATAGTATGCAGGTGAAAAATCTTTTTTTAAGAGTCCTTCAACATAAAGGCTGTGTGACCTTTTTGCACAAATGTTTTATTAATGTTCCTGTTCATTTGGGGAGCTAGTCACGTTGTCAGCAATCGACATATGTGTATATATCATTTACCTTTAGATGTGCTGTATTTCTTCACTGAAGCTTTGAAGCTTTTTCTTTCTAAACACACATCATCTTCAGTGCTGTGATGTGTTATCTGTATCCTGTTTCCTCACAAACTTCCCCTCAGTGATCAGGGGAGTCTAAAGTTTCATTTAATTTAATATGATCTATAGGACAGGTACGTAAAATAAAATGCAATGGTACAACAATGGTGAGACCTGGTTTTTTCCACTTACGAACTCTTATCAGCTCGACTGTGGCATGCCTTTGAATTTTTTTGTGGTTTCAAGAGCTCAGTGGCAAGTGACTGCAAACCTCCATTCCACAGATGAGACACTATACCAGAAACCCCGGTGTTAAACACAACACCTGATAGTAAGGGATTGGTTTCCTAACTGCATACCTCCTCCAGGTGTACGCCTGCTTTAGGCTGATTTTTAGGGTGGGGGCTGACAAGTTGGGAAGGAGGGTAGATGAGGAGTCTCTACTATAACCTCCCACTGCATATAGGGATGTCAAAAGTAAAAGACAGTTGAAAGAATAGTAAGGAAAGAGTGGGGTGAAAACAAAACAAAAAGGACAGACTTGAACCCATCCCTAGCAACAGCCTTCAGCATATGGACCACCTGCTTAACCAGGTGAGGTGCACTGACTGCGTATTTGCGTGCTTGGTTAGTGAAATCATCTCAAGTCATATAAACGTTTTATCCTAAAAAAATTAAGAAATGTTCTTTGTCCTGTGTAGGTGTGGTCAGCGGAGTTTTGATTGGCAGAATAAACACAAGCAATCGGCGCAAATGTATATTTGTTTTAAACTTCAGAGCGAAGTAAAAAAATGGCCTCTTCAGCCAACTGTCTAAAAACAAAAGATAATCAGCATACATCAATTAAACAATGAGAAAAACAGCAGGCCTCACATCTGATAGGAGATGAAAACGTTTGGTCGTTTTTGCTTGTGAAATGACTCACTTCATAATATTTATCACTGCTCTACAATCCAGATCAAGGGTTGGGCAAAGCCTGAGGAGTCTTGGTTCATATGACATGTTGTGCAAGCGTAGTGGAAATCAAATGTTGTTTGCAAATGCTCCACATAGCGAAACTGACAGGCCGAATGAGACAATTGTTTAAATGTGGGAATAATAGAATCCATCCATCCGTTTTCTGCTTCTTATCAAAGTCCAGGTCACTGGGGCAACAGTCCCCGGACCTCCCTCTTCACAGCCACTTTCTCCAACTTGTCAGACAAGAGATGTGCTTTCTCCAGCGTGTCCTGGGTCTGCTACAGGGTGTCCTCCCAGTCGGACATAACTGAAACACCTTACCTAGGAAATGCCAGAACCATGTTTGATGTGGAGAAGCAGAACCCAGAGAACGAGAAAGGATGAAGCCCTTGGTCAAAGGCTGAGTTGAGACACCCTAATTTCTGCTACCCGTGTCTGTGATCTCAATCTTTTGGTCACTACCCACAGCTTGTGGCTTTAGATGAAGATGGGAACAATGATCGGATAGTAAACTGACTGCTTCACTTTTTAAAAAGCGCTTTATGAATATGTAATTGGGTGCTTGAATTAGAAAGTACTGAAACTGAGTAGAAAGAGTATTAAGCATAGCTCCATTCACTTTTTCTTCGACCAGAGACTTGAACTCCACTTCACTTCCAGTTACTCATTCCCATCCCGTTGTAGACACACCACCCTTTTCCATCAGAGAACCATGGCCTCAGGGTTGAAGAGCTATTTCTTGTCCCAGCCATTTCACACTTCACTGCAAACCACCTGATTGTAAGCTAGAGGTTGTTGCTCAATTAAGGCAACAGAAGCACATGATCCACAAAAGTCTGACACAAAATCCTCAGTCCACGAGACACACAATAAACTTATGAACAGAACTGGTGGCAAGGGGCAGCCCTGGCTGTGTTTAACACCCACTGGGAATGATAACCATGCTCTTACAGTGGCTGGAAAGTGATGACCAAACAATCCCAACTCCAATCACCATTCTGCTAAAGCAGGGATAACCGAGCACAAGACAGTTTCTCCTGAAAGGCTTGTTTGCTCTTGTGCGTGGTTGTTAATGTGTACTAGCAGTTTATGGAGTGAAGTGGGTGTTGTTTGAGCCATACACTGAAACCCTGAATTTCTTAGACATTACCTGACTGAGATGCATTCAGAAAGAATGTCTGACTCAGTTGGTTTTGACATTAGCTGGTCTTTAATCTACCAGCTTTTTTGTGATGTTAGATTGTTTATGGCAAAGATGATTACACAGTGGATTTGTCCGGCCTTTGACATGCACTTTCCAAAGTGCACAGTGGGTAACTGCGACGTCTAGACCTGATTCTCCTCATATTGTCTTGACTTCATGTGTTAAATGAGCTTTAGCATACTGGAAACTTCAATTTCATGCATCTCAAATTATAGCTAAAGAAAAATTGCACGTAATAACACACAGTGGTATTAAGTGACAAACATTTTATTTCCTATCACGTCTATAACTTTTCAAGCTGAATTAAAGCAAAGTTTTACAATTAAGATTAAGATCTATAAACAGTATAAATTTGAAGGTCAAGAAAAAACAGGGATTTTTAAAAAAATATCAAAAACTAGATCTTACATAGGAAACAGTTTATTTTGGCCAAATTGTGATGCACTGGTTTCACAATTTCTCAGAACTTGTGAGTTACTTGTGCCATGGAGAACAGCAGCAATTTCTCTGCTCGAGACAATGTGAATCACGCGGGAGACAAATGCAGGGAGACAAATCTGTTACACAAAGAACTGTTTGTACGATTTCTCCCGGTCTGCTGTGAGATCACGAGGGTGCTCTGTGACACAGTACAGACACGATGCAGACATCACAGAAAAGCACAGTAACATCTTTCTGCAATTCTGGCTACACTCACAATTTCTTATTACGTGCCAGAAGTAGTAAGAATGGTGTTGCAAAACAGCAATAAAGCATCGATTTCTAAGTCAAAGTTATTCTTTTAGTGGATCGAGTCTGACATGTGGTAGAGAGATGCAGATATCCAAACAATACAACCTGCTGGGTAACTGCATAATTTTTTTTTGTGTCCCAATTGTCAATTTTGGTAACTGGTAATTTCAAGAATTTTTGTGTGTTTGCAAAAGACATATTGTCCCCAACCAAAGAAGACCATAGTTGTGATTTTATGTGCATGCAAAAGATATTCCTAAAGCTCACCTCAGCTCCGGAATAATTGTTGGTCTGAGTCACCAGGTGGTCAAGAGACACATTTTCAGCAACAGGCATATTACGAAACTGCAGAGAAAATATTTCCTTTCGGGTACGCGCATCTGGAAGCGGCACGTAGACAATTCGGTCGAGGCGACCTGGACGCATCAGAGCCTGTGGGACAGAAAAAAGACAGACAGCATCTGTTCTAAGGTCATATTTCAAAAATTGCGACACATAAAGGGCTTTAAAAATGTTTTCAGCATTATTGCTTTATTTCAACAGTGTTTCCTTTGTACATCGCCATTCTTATGTCACAAAGATACTGTCATGACACTATGTTTCTGACCTTTGACCTTATTGCTGGTTGCTTGTTAAGCTGTGAAAAAATAGTTCAGTCCACTCCTGAAATAATTGTACGCCTATTTAAACAGGACTATAAAGCAAATGCCTGATATACAAACTGTGAAATTTGAGATTTCCACTTCTGGCGTCAGCGTGGAGACAATCTCCCCGTTATCTGATAAACCTTCCACTTCCTACAGATCACATCTCTGTGACCCCAAAACAGTCCTTGAGTACCCAAAGCTGCCGCTGTCCCGCTTGTCAGACGTCATTAAGTGGCAGGCGCCTCTCAAACTCAGACAAGCAGACAGACTGACAAACATGTCCTGCCTCCATCTGCTGTCCTCAGCCAGGCCGTGACAAGCTGCAGTGTGGTAACCCATTTGACAAGCCAACTAGCTGAGGAGCAGTGGGTTTGGGAAAATAAATGAGCACAGTGTGAACTGGCATTTATTGGTAGCAATGGAATGAACTATAAACAGAAAACGAACATCAACTGAAACTCAAAGTTTCTTTGTTGCTATTCTCCCAAGAGTCAGTAAGTCCTGAAGGCCCTGGCTCTGAGCCAGACAGGCCACAGCGGGGCCAGACTCTGGCCTGTGGAGCCGAGACAGGAGATACTCACAGATGCAAGCCATACAGGAGGCCATGTCAGGAGTGATCAGTGAAGGTTGGAGGGACTGGACAAGCAGCCTTTGAACTGTTAGATACTGCGCTTCTACCTCTGCAACTCTCCTCTTTTACTTGCAAAGAATATGAGCATCTACTGTACGTCATGTCATCCTGTATGTTTGAGTAGGAGAACAGAACAATCAGCACATGCTACGAGTTCAGCTAACTAGTGCATAAGCACTCTGTGAATCTGGGTTTTAATAAGGTTGATATTTAACTCACTTAACAAGCAGAAATGCCAAACATCTGCAAAACCTATATTCCATAATTTAAAAAAAAGGGAACTCTAGGTGCATAGAATTTTCCAGCTTAAAAAAATGTAAGCAAAAAAAAATCTTTTCTGCGTTTCATTTGAAGACCACCTGCTCGATAAGTGTCTTGGAGGAAATTTCAGGTTTGGAGTTTTGTTTTACGGTTTGCTATATTTCCCCTCTGGATAGCAAATTCCAGTTTACTGGGGTGATGGATAGTATCCCAGCCTTTTATCTACTGGTTTTCCTGTACATGTGTATGGAACATGAGAGGACAGAAACCGGAGACGAATGTTAGTAGCTACCTTTACGTATCCACAACAGAGTAATGGGTGACAAAGGAGCCGTGGCTCATGACAGCAAACATTCTTGCTTTTCAGGTCTCTCGACTCTTACGCTTGATTACAGAAAGGTGGGTGGCTATCTGTGACGGTAGTGTAACAAAATGGATAGAGAGGAATAACACCACGAAGCAGGAAAGGGGTGGCTGCTGCGGTGACATGCTGGGAGATAGATGGACGGGTGGCTGGAGGGCTGCAGTATTAAATCAAAGATGTAAGGGCTTAAGGCCTAATAAGGTGCATCTGGCAAAGCAATTATAAAACAACACCTGTGGGATCAGGTTTGTTATTATGTTTCTTCCTGTGGGATAACATATATTGTTGGTACAAAACTGTGCTCGAGGCGTGAGGTGATTGTAGTGGGAACTTTAATCTGTGATTGTTTGTCACAGCAAGTCAAGCCCGTTGCAGCACAGTATATTGCATTATGCAGAGGACGTGCCAGGGACACTTCCTGAGTTGCTCTCCCTGGAAGTATCGGGCGGCTGCATGCCAACACAAACCTGCTGACCCCGGACTAAATAACTCAGTCACTCCCACACACGCTGACAAACACATTCGCATATGCAAGCGTGCATGTAAGCACACATATATTCCAATAAACTCTCCTTGGACGGATCGTTTTAATTTCCGATCCATTTTCCTAGTGCAAAAACACCACTTTGCACTTTATCAGCTATTAATTCTCTCCGCACACATAATGGAGAAGTGCCTGTAGCTTCCAGGCACTCGGGCTCCGAGGGTTCCAAGACGCTCCCGAAAAAGCAGAGCCGACCCTCAGCTTTGAGACTGCTAAACTCATCTGACTGCCCTGGAGGGAAAGAAAGGCTTTTTTTCTTTCCTCCCAGCAAGAGCAGGGGGCCCATCCATCACTTAACAAGATATACTTCCTGTTCTCAAGGATCCGGGGGAGGTGGTGGTGGTGTGGTGGAATAAGAGGAGGAGGAGGTAAGGAGGGGGGACCCCAAAAGACAAATACTTGGCTTGGCATGTCGGGCAAGCGTTGACGGGCTCTTTTCGTAACGGCATCATTCCACCTGAAGTCTTGGCTCCGCTGGCAGAAGGCAAGAAAAAAAGGAGTCAGGCGAGGAGATGAGAGAGGAGAGGACAAAACCAGCCAGACCAGGGCACTCAGACAACCCACTTGAAAGGACAGCAGGACCAAAGCCCTGGAAACAAACACAGATAAGTTGTGTGGGAGACAGCAAACCACCACAGACAAAACCCAGTTGTATAAATTCCCTGCTGTTCTAACATGAGTCTGCATGACGGATTGCATCCACCTTGTTGCACCACTGACATGATAGGCATCATTACACACGAGCCATTAGTAATTAGAAATGCCCCTAGGTAAAAAATACCAACCACCTTTAAGTCAACACAGAACCATTTATATACCACTGAATCTAGCAGAGTGTGCACTGTGGACTTAACCCCAGCAAAATGTATGTTGCAACGCTGAGAAAGTTTGGAAAAACATGTGGATCAGTCAAGCTGATTAAAAAGCAAACCAAAAATAAAAGAGAGAGAGACAAGAGAGAGAAAAAACTCATCCATGCTTTCTCCGCCAAGTTTCACTGCCGATAACAACAGTAATCATTCCAAGGCATTGCAATCCTCCACAAGAAGTGATTACCCCCTAATGACAGACGACTTCCTATCTGCGAAGGCCGGTACCTCTCCTTAACCAATGAGGAATGCTGGGAATCTTTTCCTTAGAGCGTTGTTCCTAAGCACATTCTTGGCCAGCGTCAATCTGACCCGCTCTGAGCTATGTCTACAAACTGTTTACAAACGGACGCCCCCGCAATTCAGGTGTCTTATTCTTAGATAGAAACTTAGACTTGGTGTGACTAAATCAAGATCAAGATCTGCTTTGTTACTCACGACGCCTTCAGATCAAATGAAAAACGAAATGAAACACTGGGTTTATGAAACTGAACATGATGACTAAGTTCTTCCCTGCACATCTGGTGCTATCTCTGTTTTTCCAATAAGCTGTTTTCAGTGGCACTTTTTAAAATGTAAAGCATGATAGCAGGCTGTCTGCATGAATGAGAGGTTTGCCTGAGGAGACATGAGATGACTTTGTTGCCTGCCAGAAGGCATTTGCTGTATGTGGCTTCCTAACCTGTCAGTCTGCAATCCTTAGAGGCCTTGGTGAGTCATACCGACTCGGAGATGGGCCACCCTGGATTTATTCCGAGCACACACAAAACAGAAAATGCAGAAAGCACGATGGGAACACAGAGCTCACAGAAAGGTCAGCATTCAGACGCAGTAATCTTAGATACAATGCACTAGCCGAATACCAGTAAATGTTACAGACTGTCAGGTGTCACTGGTATTCTTAAAGTCAAGATTGCTGTTATATCTGTGAAAGTAACACAAAATTGGAAAGATGAAGATTTTTTGCAACAGCTGTGATTCAGTGGATGTCCTCTTTCAGAAAAATCTGGTTTACAAAGTCCCAGCTCAGGAACAATTTCCACAAAAACACAAATCCAGAGCCAGTTTGTTTCTTTCACAGTTTTCAAGGGAGCTTCCTTTTACAGATGAGAGACCTACTGAGCCTCACATCGATTGTGCAACATGCATGAGTGGAAGACTGCGTGGCATCTGTGTCACTTCCGTGAAATGTGTTATGTTCTGATCCTTCCACAACATGCCAATCATTAATCAAAGTGCCTTACCTTTCACTTGCTAAAGTGCAAAAAGGGAAGGAATTCAGTCAGTCACACCTGGGTGTGTGGCACGTCACATGCAGCAGCAAGTCATTAAAAACACTGCACCAGTGTTTTGTGGACTGTACTATGTGCAAAAATCAGGCACCTATAACCTTAACGTACTGCAATGATTGCTAGAAGAGTTATAGTTATTTTATGGATATACATTTCCGTTGTTCAATTTATGGGAGAAGGAATGACTTCCTCTCATATTTCTACCACAAAGTGAACCTGACTTGGATTTTTTTAACCACCTGGATTCAACATATTCCTTGTTGTTCCCACTAAACTCTTGCAGAGAGTGGCCTCATTGTATAAAAACCTCTCCAAGTATGTGAAAATACCCTTGAGCTTTATTTCGTCACTCTGATTTATGTCAGAGTACAAAACAAGCTATCAGCCGGTTCTGTTTTTCAAATCCTTCAAATCACGCAAATCCGATTTGCATCTACAGAACATTTTGCCCAAGCTTCCTTTCACAAAGGTGACATAATTCTGATCGAGGCCACGCTGTCTTCATAGAGACACTGGACCTTCTTTATGTCAGTCTTGATTTCGACGTGAGAGAGGATCAGAGAGAACTGGAGCGGAGGGAAAGAGAGAGTAAATCAAGGAGAGAGGGGAGGGGACAGCAGAGCAGAGAGGGATGAGAATGACAGAGGAAGAAAGTAAGTATGCGGTGAGAGGTGGAGAGAGAGAGAGAGAGCGAAAGAGAGGAGTTGGCAACAGCTCAAAAACATGAGAGGCTTTCACTCTGGATTTTGCCCTTGAGTCAAACTTGCATCCGGCAGGCGAGGCCACCGTGTCCAAGAACCAAATAACTCTGCCGCTGTTAACCC